CTTCAGTTCCATCTCCCTTTGTCTTTTTTCACTTGGTCTTGCAAGCACGCAGATTAAATTTCCATACAGATATTCCCACCGAAGTCTATGGGCCTACACACTTCAGTAAAATACTTATGTGAATAAGTGTTTGCCTGATCAGAACATTTAGGTTGAAACCTGTTCAGAGCAGGAATCATTTGTTAAACCCATTTGTATAGCGCCTCATCTGCTTTTTGACTGGCTGAATAAATCACCATCCTAAGCATTTCTTAAACTGTTTTTCCTCCACAGATCTGTCTGTTCCATGCACTTTGTGATTTGTGAGCTTCCTGACTGCTGGTTGTGTTTATTAGTAATATATGCAAGTGTTGAGCGCCCATACTTTACTAGTTTCCCTTTCAGCTCACTCTTACTGTTCTCTGTTTAGGGATTGCTTTCTACTGTATTCTTCAGCTTTGTAACCAGGTTCAGCCTTTTCTTTACACCCTACACAACTCCTAAGAACCCAATACGTACAGTAGAATAGGGCAGAAATTGCTCTATAACATTCTTTGCTATTCAGTTAAGGGCACTGAAAACTCTTCAGAGCTGACATCAAAAGCAAGGGGAGGTGGATCCTAGAACCTGTTGAGTGTTTTAATCTTGCATGAATGTATGGTGTAATAGTCACTGAATAACATATAGCTTCAACCAGAGTATAATGGAGTTGGAGTCCATGGACAGGGTCTGGGGTACAGACATCCTACAGGAAAATCCCTGAGAACAACCAGACTTGGGTAAAAAGTTTTTATCTAAGGTTCGTGTGTTGTCTTGTGATGGTGGTTTGAGTAGCTGCCTACACAGCCCAAGCCTAGAGAGGAAGTAAATTTGGACCATGCTTCCTATGTCCCTGTGTGCACACGCAGAGTGCAGAACAAGGTGGGCACTGCACTGGCGTTTAAAAATAAACATGGAAGGAAAAACCAGTGATGTATGTGTTTTCTCCAACCCCCATGACTCACCTGTACTATGACCTTGAGCAAATCACTCCTCTGTGCCTCTGACCTTGGCCTTTCTTTCCTGTGTCAATTGTGAGCTCTCTGAAGGGGACGGTCCCTTGCTGTCTGTTCACACAATGATCTCAGCTGGAGCTGCTGTAATGCAGATCATAAAAAACGGAATTTACTACATGGGACGTGCTACAAAATATATAGCATTTCATTTCAAAGAAATAAACTGTTTCTAAGGAGGAACGTGGCAGTTAAATTCCTTGCAGAGCTTCTTAAGGCCAGGGGAGATGACACTTTAACAGCGGCATAACTGATATTTTACGCCAACATAAAACAGAGCAGATTGGCAACGTGAACCCCTATACGAGAGCAATTTTGTCCAATCCAGTGCAATATCCCCAAAAGAATTGGGGGTAAGATGGCAGTGGTGCAGTTATTGTTTATCCACAACTTATCCTGGGGGAACTTTGTTTGTTCAAGGGAAGCTGAATGTGACCTGCTTGCCTCCCACCTGGTGGTAAAGTGCTCTAACAGCTGCCTATAGCATTCCTGGGATAACTGCACGTTTGTCCAGCCCAGTGTAAGTTATGCTGGGATTTAATGTTAAAAAGAATATATATGTTACAGTGGTGCAAATGTGGCATCTGTCCAGGCCCAAAATCCATTTCCTGTGATTAGGTGAATGCAGCAGTGTCGAAGCCTCCATACAGCTGCCTCCATGAGTGAGTCAGTGGTCCAGGGTACTCAGTGATTTACCCAGGAAGAAGAGCTGAAAGATCAGCACTCAAGTGAGTTCTGTTTATGGCAATTGATTTTTTTAAAATAAAAATGAGTAGATGATAAATGATATGTTTGCTGCTGTATTGTTGTTGAAGCAAAGACGATTCCCTCATTTTCCATTCTTGTTCTGCATTTTTTACTACTCTGTAGAGTAATGCCCCCCACTGAAGTAACAGACTCGGATCTGGTAATTTAGGCAGTTTCATATTTGTTGGTTTCTTCTTCCCCACCCCTCTTTTTCCTCTCCTGAATCTCTCTTAGGAAGGATGAGTGCAGAGTTATACAAGTTGGCATCATTTATTAGTGGAGTACAAGACATAAAATTTTAGCAAGTGCCTGCAGCTCTACAACCATAAGTACATTTCCCCCATCATTTCTTCTCTATTCCTCCCTATGCTCCCTTCCCTGAACCTTAGAAATGAAATCCTGGCTCTGTCGAAATTAATGGGAATTTGGCCATTGGCTTCCACGGGGTTAGGGCAGTGGTCTCCAAACTTTTTTGTTTGTGCACCCCTATCAGTAAAAAATTTTTGAGCATGCACCCCCAATATATGTATATTTATATAAATATAAATAGAAGTTCTAATATTTTTTTCCCGTACCCCAGTGGATTGTCTTGCACACCCCCTGGGGTATGCGCACCCCACTTTGGAGAGCACTGGGTTAGGGGATAATCAGTGACCTTCAGGCACTGATTCTCACTTACTTTTCAGCACATTCACCCCAATCTACCAGAGCAGAGGAGGTATAATTTACTCTCTGCTAGGGGCCTTATTGTTAATGAGAATTATACACTTGCAGGAGTTTTGTCACTGACCTTAGTGGTTCCAGTTTTGATCCCTAAAAGCAGTATTGCATAAACCAGCAAGGTCCATCTCCAGCTGGTGAAAGCATCTGTAGTGTGTTTAGATTTCTGCGCCGTGCCTGCATCTGAATGTTTGGTTTTCTTTGTTTTATGGTAATGCTGCATTGTGCTGACAGCTCCAAGATTTGGTCTTCTTCTGTGACCTCCCTCCTGCTCTGTTCTGTGTTTTGTATGAGGCAGAGGCACACTCTCCAGCTATCCTGACCCCAAAGAGCCCCAGCCTTGTGCTTGTTTTAAATTGAAATATCCAAGCAGTATTTCAGCCTGCACTCCCAAATTCACTCTCTGTAAGCCCCTCATCTAACACAGACTGCAGTGACTCTCAGGAGGCTACTCAAGTATGTGAAGTTAAATGATGTGTTTGTAAGGCTAGGGCCTCGGTGCTTATTTTCCATGTTGTTTCTAGTAAACTCAGTATTGTATTATCTAAAAACTTGGTTATCTCGATAGTGGGACTTCTTAGAAGTAATTTGTGCCTCTAACAAGAAAAAAAATGGCCACAGTTTAGATAGAGATCACCGTACTGTTCTGAAGTGCATCTTTTTATCTGTTTGTCTCTGCCTCCAACCAATTTCCTTGCCCAGTCAAAAATTGTCTTTTATGTTCTTCCTGATAACCCAGTGTTAATCTGCTATTCAGTAATGTAGAAAGCTACAGCTGTATCATCAAAACAGTGATGTGTTTATATCATAAAAGCCAAGGTTTAGAATCAATGTTATGTCACAAATATCAGCACTACTGCAGCTATAAAGCTTTGATCTAAAATAGATCATCCTGATTTTTGAGGGCACCTTATTTTGCAAAATGTGCCACCAAAAATGACAAGTCGAATACAAAATGATTATTTGCCAGAATTAAAGCTGCACATAATCACCTTGATGAATGTTAGGACACTCACTTCCTGGGAAGCCAACTGGCAGGCCTCAAAGAGGCTGGGATGCTGTCTGAACTGGGGACCCTACAAAGAATACTTACTTGGCAGGGAATAGCTAAGACCTCCTCCAAAGCCCTGCCATGCCTCGCTGAGCCAGGCAGGGGTCCTTTATGCTCTGAAACTCCTTTATCTGTATGGTTGTGGGGTCATAGCCCTTTTCAAATCAGAGGAGTCTGAATAAGAGGTTGCTTAGGGTTGTGTCCACTTTGGAGATCCTAGTTATGGGAGCTGTGAAAACTGAATAGCTTGAACCAGACGACATGCTCTTTAGTGGCCAAGAGGAGACATGAACATGTAGCTCTTTGCATCCTGTATCTGACTCTACTCTTACGTGAATCTGAGGAAGCCACTTAATCTTTTTGTGCCCTTCTGTAGCTATGTCAGTGCTACAGACATATCCAAACTAGCTTTAAACTCACTAACTCAGGTATTAACAGTCATAAAAAAATAGGATTTTTTCCCCTCTCCTGTTGCTACATGTGTCAGGGTTTGGGGACTTTATGGGGATGGTTGGGGGTCACCTTCCTCAGAAGTATTGAGGAGTATTTGGACAGTATTTTGACAGCCAGTGCTCGTACTGAGATTAAAACACTTAGGTTCCTGGCTCAAGGGTCTTGCCCCTTCATTCAGGGTCAGGCCGATCACCACATTTGGGGTCAGGAAAGAATTTTACCCCATGGTCAGACTGATGTGGATGGTGGGAGTTTTTGCCTTCCTCTGTAGCAGTGGGTATGACCTACTTCCTTGGATCCCAAGTGTATTTTAACAACCCTTGCAGCAGCAGGACATTGGCTGCCGGTGTCCCCTTCCCTTACTCTATACCGGTTAGAGTGCTATGCCTTGTGGTTTTGTGACGAGGTTGACTGTGTCGTGGTAGCGATAGGTTAGCTAAGCCTATTTATGAGGTGCTGTAGATAGAGCTGATCCAGCTTCAGGCAGGGAGTTGGACTAGACAAGCTCCAGAAGTCCCCGCCAGCCCTACTTTTCTATGAGTCTAGTTATGGCATCACAGAGATCAGTGCAGGCTGCAAATCTTACCTCCTCCACCCCACAAAAGCAGGGTAAGCACTTGGGTGGTTGGCTGGTGCTAAGCGCTGTGCTGCTGCAGCTGCTGCTAACAATTTAGTAGCTCGGGTGTCTACACAATACTATAGTCATTCTTGTGACTGTGGTGTATATGCACCTTATTCAAGGAGGCTGCTGTTACTTTGGGCTCTCCATACGAGAAGAAGAATGCACATTCTTTTAATGAATCTGTATCCAGTACATTGCTTTGCGCAGAAGACTATATCATTTTTGCCTTTAAGCTTCAAATTGGAAGTGCACTCCCAAGTGTCCTTTTCACAGAAGTATTACTCTTCCACTAAAGCTTCTACTATAGACTATTTGCTACAGTGAATGCAAAAATAGGGTTTCTGCCAATAATCTAATGACCGCATCTCTATTTCAGGTCCTGTTTGTTCCCCGACACTGGTGGCACTATGTAGAATCCATTGACCCCATCACTATCAGTATCAACTCCTGGATTGAACTGGTACTTTCCTTTTTAAGTCATTGCTATGCAGGGCTTCAATTTAAACACATGATATATCGAGTAATAAGCCCACTGGTTAAAAATAAATAATGCTGCCCCAGATCGGGTGACCTCATGAGCCATTTTAAAGTGGTTTATTATTATAATCATCTTACATTTACATATTCCCTTTCATCCTGAGGGATCCCAAAATGCTTTACAGATTTGTGTTTTATACAAGGATCATTTATCACCCACTACTCAAATGCAGCTATTCTGGGCCAGTAACATTAAAACCATCATTTGGATTTCCTGGTATGTTTTTAGTAGGGGAAAATGGAGAGGGAGGAAATTAATGTCTCCAAGAAAATTTGCAAAGGGGAATCAACCAAGGCTGAGAATTAATACAATTCTGCCCTGGAGAAAAACACTGTAATTGTGGATCCATTATTCTATTCTTCCTCCCTTGCTTGACTAAAACAAGCCTTGAGTGGGCTAAGTTTAAATCTTCCTTTTCCTGAGCTGTTTTAGCCCCATCAGGTTTGCTGAGGAAGGTATCTTCCTAAAAACATGATCTTTCCTGAGTAAGGATTTGAAGGATTTGTACTCGTATCTACCTCTGTTCAGCAGATCCCATGCATGTACATAAGCTCAACTTAAAAAAACTAAAGTTTATAGTGTTAATGTATGCTTTAAGCAAGTGCTTTGCCATATGTCATAGAACTAAGCATGTTTTTAACATCAAAGACATGATTAAACACTTTGCTAAATCAGGGCCTGAATGCCAAACAATATTAATGCTGTAGAGCATGGGTTACGTGGAATGTGTCAGTTGATGTTTCTGTGTGGGTTTGATTGAGTTTGGGTTAGATTTTCTCATTAACTAATCTTAGTTCATTTCTGCTCTCTTTAATCCTGGATTTTTACAGTGTACGTTACCCACTATGTGTGCGGTGGCTTCAGTGGAGTGTCCCACTTCCCGCCGCCCTCCCCAAAGGTTTTCAAACATAAATCATATCACCATTAACAGTACCTGGATATAAAATACTACTGAGTGGGCAGAGAAAGATGCATCACAAAAATGCCTTCCTTTAACAGCTCTACTGGAATGGAAATCTGTAGGGAGCAGAATGATAGCGGACACAATAGGCACAAAAAATACGTTGGATCACATAAGCCCAGCCTTTGCTGCTGGGGCCAAGTAGAGGGATGTGAACCTGGGTGAACCTTAGTGTAAGGGTATTGGGTTAAAAGAACAATATAAAGCATCCCTACCCCAGTTTCTTACAGAGCCCCAAGTATAAATAGGGTCATGTCAGGTCTAGTGAAAGCATCAAGGAGCACCCTGCACTGTACTGATTCCAGACAAGCAGGGTAGCCCATAAGCAGCTATTGAAGGCTTCCATAAATGTGTGCCCCTTCTGGCACAGTGTTAACAGAGGTGTGTAATTCAGGCTATGAGCTGCACCTGTCAGGAGGTTGGTGTCAGGCCGGTTTCACTCACAAATGCAAGAACTGGCTCCACAACACAGCTTCAAAAGAAGGGTGTGCAAGAGCTCCATTTGCCCTAAGTCTCCACACCTTTGCATAGGACAGTCTGCTCGGGGACAGGAGTCCTGAGTTTGAAACCCTTCAGGCTGAGGCAGGCCCAGAACCCAGGTCCCTCATTCCTGGGTAAATGTTCTAGCCAAGAAGCTATTACTATTACTTCATCCTCTGTCCATGCTTTGGGACTGGGACCATTGTGCTTTGTGCTCAGCTCCCTGCTCCTGTGCCATGTCAGAGAACACCTACCCATTTGTGCCTAAATCCCCTGGGAGGCCTAGTTTGTGAATCCCAAAGAGTCTTATATGTGAAATAGGCACTGAGAGGCTCAGCTTTTGCAAAATGGCACCTTTTCTGGGCGTGTGGAGGAGCAGAACCTCAGGAAATTTTTGCTAGAAGAGTCAAGTATCTACCCTTCAGACACCTAAGCAGCTAGGCATGGAGAGGCAGGGGGTCGTAGATCACTCTTGGACTTGAGCATCTTAGTTCCACCTTAGTTATGTGTAGGTGCTAAATTCTTTTGTGGATGTGGCCCTGAGCGACAGGGATAGTTGTTGGCTGTACTTTGTGTTTCCTTTCCTGTACTGCTTTCTGATTCTGTTCCCTAGCACTGCAGTACAATGGAGACAAATCCTGAAGCTTCCCTAAAGCAGAGCTCTCACTAATGACAATCACAGTCTTCTTGGCATGTGGAGGCTGCTGGATTTTTCCTAATCTGTTACCCAGAATTAACCCCCCTCCCTTCCTAAAGCAAAATGAATTACTTCAGCTAATAAGCAGATTGTGCAGCAATGTTTAACCTTAGAAAGTACTGCATGTAATCATTGTGGCACAGGTGACAGTTGATTACAGCCTATTATCCCTGCAGATGACAGCAACATTACTTTTACATGTTGGGTAATCCATCTATAAAAATAATGCGTGACATGGGCGCTAAAACATAATATTGAGAACATTCCCATTACCAATTCAATCAGTTCTCTCACTGGCAGCCGTTAACAGCTGCTTTCATTTTGACAGATGTGTGTCATGCCAGCATTTATAGTCCTAGCGATAGCATTAATTATTTTGCCAAGATTCTGAATAACTGTAGAAGTTTTAATTTGTTTTCAGTGTAATATAAGAGATTCAAACCTTGCTTCCTAGAGAGCTAAGTCACGTGGTCAGTGCAGCCCTCATATTAAGCACATCAGGACACATCCTTAGAGTGCAACACCTTGAAAAATATTTACTGGATCTGCATATAGTAATGATGCTGTCAATTTGGGGTGGATCTTGTTATGAAAAGAAGCTGATAAATGGATTCAGATAGTCCCATGACAGTCCCCACCCTGCATTTCCTCATTGCCCAGTC